TTGAGCTCTAAGGTCTGAGCTCTAAGATTTGAGCTCTAAGGTCTGAGCTCTAAGATTTGAGCTCTAAGGTCTGAGCTCTAAGGTCTGAGCTCTAAGGTCTAAGGTCTGAGCTCTAACGTCTAAGCACTCTAAGGTTTGAGTTCTAAGGTTGAAGGTCTAAGTTCTGAGGTTTGAGCTGTAAGCTCTAAGGTCTGAACTCTAAGGTCTGAGCTCTAAGGTATAACTCTAAGGTCTAAGCACTAAGGTCTAAGCTCTAAAGTCTGAGCTCTAAGATTTGAGCTCTAAGGTCTGAGCTCTAAGATTTGAGCTCTAAGGTCTGAGCTCTAAGATTTGAGCTCTAAGGTCTGAGCTCTAAGGTCTGAGCTCTAAGGTCTAAGGTCTGAGCTCTAACGTCTAAGCACTCTAAGGTTTGAGTTCTAAGGTTGAAGGTCTAAGTTCTGAGGTTTGAGCTGTAAGCTCTAAGGTCTGAACTCTAAGGTTTGAGCTCTAAGGTCTAAGCTGTAAAACGTAAGGTCTAAGATCTAAGATCTAAGCTTCATAGTTTAAGGTCTGAGGTCTAAGCTGTAAACTTTAAGTTCTAAGCTCTCTAAAGTCTCCCTATGGTGGGAGAGCCCTTGGTGTAATTATTTTTACAACAGTGATATGCAGTGATAAAGATGGAGAATCATAGAAGCAACCTTCCAAGTATGTGTATGAAGAATACCTGTCACCACGCAGGATAAGGTCACTCTCGATGCCTCAGGAAACCCGGTCCTAGGTCCTCATCAGGGACAGCTGATTATATAAAGTTCCCTACCTCCTGGTTGCTCATCATTCACCGGCATGATTCACAAACCGTTTATGTTACATCATCAGACCAAGAAAGCAGCAGATCAGTCATAAGTTATCTTTTTGGGTGCAGTTAAATGAATTTGATTGTTCATCACACAGTAAAACTTTCACTGCCTTAACCACCAAAGGGAGGGTTACCTTTCATTGCTACGATTGCCAGTGCAGGGGGGGGGGGGGGTCACCTTTTACTGCCATGAGAACCAATGTGTTGGGGGTTATCTTTCATTGCTATGATTACCAGTGCAGGGGGGGGGGGTCACCTTTTACTGCCATGAGAACCAATGTGTTGGGGGTCATCTTTCATTGCCATGACCACCAATGCCAGGGGTGCTAGGTTAGTGTAGTTTATAGTGCATACATTATAGTACATATATATTGTAGGTTGTTGTAGTGTATGTTATATATTATCCATTTGACGCCAAATCACGTACATGTATGTCATTTGGCTTTAAGTCCCCAGTCACACCGGGTGCAACTTGGCATGCCATTTACATTCCATACGACTTGCAAATTGCATGGCAAGTCGCACCCTATTGTCTGCAATTACTGTGGTCATATTGGTGCGGTTCCAACTTGGTCGGAGCCGCACGGATTTCTAAAGTAGTACATGCACTACTTTTGGTGCGATTTGCATAGACATCTGTATCAGACGTCTTCCAAATCGCACCTCGAATTGGAATCTCATCCATCTTTGAAATCATGCGATTTCATTGCAAGTCGCACAATTTCAAGGTCAAGATTGGTGTGACCGGGGTGTAAGTGGTTGTACTGGGATGCAGCTGCAGGCAGGCAGGCATCATCCTGGCATTGGTTTTTTTTTAAGCCAGCGGCTGGTTTTTATGTACAGTAAAAGTAATTCGAGTGGCTAATTAGCCATTGAATGGCTTTTACAGATGGTCACACCCGCCGGTGCCTCCCCAGGTCCGAACTTGGAATGAAAGCCAATGCTATCACCGGCTAACCACAGAGATCACTGAGAACCGGAAGGTCTCCAATGATTCTATGGTATAGGAAACGATGAGCATTTTTGGCACTTCTGGTGTCCCGGATGTAAAGAGCGGCATTTTTAACCCCTTGGTGCTAGCGCCTCCCTGCCCTTTAAGGGTTTCAGAAGCCGGGAGGAGGGATGGGGTTTAGGGTCATGTGACCGCCATGACATGCCGTAACAGCGGCCACATGATCGGAAAGGTCCCGAAAAGAGGAGATTGGGACCTTTCTGTGAGTACCGGAAATGTGTGCTGGGAGGGCGCTGGGCGCATGCTCTCAGCACATATGTTTTTTTTTAATAGAACGCAAATGTGCGGCAGCTCGGCGTCTAGGCCCAGACGCCGGGAGGCCGCACATTTGCATTCCGCCGACGCGAAGAGGTTGAGCAGAGAAAGCATCTGAACACACTGATCTTGGTGTAGTCAGATGCTCTGAGTACCTGTCATTGCCTATTGCTGTCACAGAGATGTTTACAGTCCTTCCCACATGGAAGAAAAATATATTTGAAATATATTTTAAAAATATTCTTCCCAAATATATTGACATTTATTTGAAATGGTACAATTTTGGCCATATTCAAAAAAATTCTGAAGAATATATTTTAAAAAATATATTTAAAAAATATATATTTTTTAAAATATATTCTTCAGATTTTTTTTAACATAAAAAAGTCATTTTAACATATATTTTTACATATATTTGTAAATGCGTTCCAAAAATGTAGATTTGTATTTTTAAAGACATACAGGACATTTGAAATATATTTTTAAAAATATTTTTCCTATATTTTGTAATGAAAATGCATTTCAACATGCAGTGTATATTTTATATATATATATATATATGAAATAAATATATTTTCAAATATATTGAATATGGCCAAAATTGTCAATATATTTGGGAAGAATATTTTTAAAATATATTTCAGATATATTTTTCTTCCATATGGGTTGTGACAGCAATAAAAGTGATTCAAAAATGCAAAGAAACAGTGTAAAAAAAGGAAATATTTAAAGCACCCACGCCCCCCTATGCTTGTGCACAAAGACAAATGCACGCACTCTTCCCACAAGCATACATAAACGGTGATCGCACCACGCAAGTGAGGTATCGCTGTGCACATCAGAGCGAGCGCAATAATCCTAGCACCACACTCCTCCATAACTCTAAATTAATAACCTGTTTCTTTTTAAGTATCTCCTATGGTGACTTAGTTTATGGCCATTCCACGAGCGTGTGCAAAATTAAGGTGTGACATGTTAGGTATCTATTTACTCGGCGTAACACTGTCTTTTATATTTTACCAAGAAACTTATTTTTACTTGTAAAACAAAAATTGTCAGATAAGGGGCTGGTCTAATAGTGGTTATAGATCAGTTTCTGACTGTTTTTCACTAGTTTTGCATTTGGTTAGGGTCAGTGTCACTACTGGTAGCATGAGGCCATACCTGGACCCTACAGAGGTTGCACAGGCAGTCCAACTCCTCCAGGATGGCACATCAATACATGTCATTGCCAGAAGGTTTGCTGTGTCTCCCAGCACAGTCTCAAGAGCATGGAGTAGATTCCAGGAGACATGCAGTTACTCTAGTGCAGTGGGTCCTGGGTTCCTCCTGGTGCACGGCAATGCCCGGCCTCATGTGGGGAGACTATGCAGGCAGTTCCTGGAGGATGAAGGAATTGATACCATTGAATGGCCCCCACGCTCGCCCGACCTAAATCCAATAGAACACCTCTGGGATATCATGATATCATCCGACGCCTCCAGGTTGCACATCAGACTGTCCAGGAGCTCAGTGATGCCCTGGTCCAGATCTGGGAGGAAATCCCCCAGGACACCATCCATGGTCTCATTAGGAGCCTCCCCCGACGTTGTCAGGCATGCATACAAGCACGTGGGGGCCACACAGACTACTGAGGACCATTCTGAGTTGCTGCAATGACATTTCAGCACAATGGACTCGCCTGCTGCATCATTTTTCCACTTTGATTTTCGGGGTATCTTTGAATTCAGTCCTCTGTAGGTCGATCATTTTCATTTCCATCAAACGATGGGGCGTCCTTACATTCCTAACACATCACCCCGTTCATGTCAGTATAGAGATCCAGCAGAAATTCTTCCCCATTGAGATCTGCTGTTTTTTTTTTAATTTACATATGTTGGGAGTTGGGATTTTTTTCAGCAAAGACATGGAGCAGAATACATTTTGACCTAATTCATTCATTCATGATGAGATTTTATCTTTAAAAATTTTTTTACTGGACACGTTTAATAACAAAAAGTAAAAAATATTTTTTTCTCAAAATTTTCAGTCTTTTTTTTAAAAAAAAAAAAAAATACACAGGCAATCAAATACCACCAAAAAAAGCTCTATTTGTGGGAAAATAGGACGTACATTTCATTTTGGTGCAGTGTTGCATGACCACGCAATTGTCAGCTATCCTATGAAGCTGGGTAGTCCTTGAAGCAACTGCGCATGCGCCAGTGTAAGGTTGACAAGCCGATCATCGAGCTGCTGCAGCCGAACTATCTTGCCGCTGCACCACTCAGAGCGGCGCCTGCAGTTCCTTCTTTAGACAGTAGGTGGCGGTGTGGTAGCGCTGTGATCCCCGCTCTCTCTCTCCTGGTATCCCGGATGGAGGGTCTCGGAGCGGCGCAGTTCGCTACATGGACATTAGGTGGCGGTGTGGTAGCGCTGTGATCTCTCTCCCTCCCTCTCCTGGTATCCCGGGTGGAAGGTCTCGGAGTGGTGTCTGCAGTTCCCGATATGGACATTAGGTGGCGGTGTGGTAGCGCTGTGATCTCCCCGCTCTCTCTCTCCTGATATCCGGGATGAAAGGTCTCGGAGCGGCGCCTGCAGTTCCCTATATGGACATTAGGTGGCAGTGTGGAAGTGCTGTGATCTCTCTCTCTCTCCCCGATAGAAAGTCTCGGAGCGGCGCCTGCAGTTCCCTATATGGACATTAGGTGGCGGTGTGGTAGTGCTGTGATCTCCGCTCTCTCTCTCTCACTTTCTCTCTCCTGATATCCCGGATGGAAGGTCTCGGAGCGGCGCCTGCAGTTCCCTATATGGACATTAGGTGGCGGTGTGGTAGCGCTGTGATCTCCACGCTCCTCCCCTTCCTGACCAGGTCGGTAGTCGGTGTGTCCCCACGTGTGTGCACTGTGTCCGGATATCGGGATGAGTTTACTGAACGATGTGTCGGAGGACGACGGCCGGGGCAGCCCGGTGGAGAGTTATATGTTCGGTGAGATGTCCGCTGACTGTGTTCTATAGGACTACAAGGCCCAGCATGCCCCATTGATGGTCACATGGTGGGGGAGGGGTTTCAGTGTTCTATAGGACTACAAGGCTCAGCATGCCCCATTGATGGTCACATGGTGGGGGAGGGGTGACAGTGTTCTATAGGACTACAAGGCTCAGCATGCCCCATTGATGGTCACATGGTGGGGGAGGGGTGACCGTCTTCTATAGGACTACAAGGCTCAGCATGCCCCAATGATGGTGGGGGAGGGGTGACAGTGTTCTATAGGACTACAAGGCCCAGCATGCCCCATTGATGGTCACATGGTGGGGGAGGGGTGTCAGTGTTCTATAGGACTACGAGGCTCAGCATGCCCCAATGATGGTCACATGGTGGGGGAGGGGTGACAGTCATCTATAGGACTACAAGGCTCAGCATGCCCCATTGATGGTCACATGGTGGGGGAGGGGTGTCAGTCATCTATAGGACTACAAGGCTCAGCATGTCATGGTGGGGGAGGGGTGATAGTGTTCTATAGGACTACAAGGCTCAGCATGTCATGGTGGGGGAGGGGTGACAGTGTTTTATAGGACTACAAGGCCCAGCATGCCCCATTGATGGTCACATGGTGGGGTAGGGGTGTCAGTCATTCTACAGGACTACAAGGCTCAGCATGCCCCATTGATGGTCACATGGGGGGGGAGGGGTGACAGTCATCTATAGGACTACAAGGCCCAGCATGCCCCATTGATGGTCACATGGTGGGGGGAGGGGTGACAGTCATCTATAGGACTACAAGGCTCAGCATGCCCCATTGATGGTCACATGGTGGGGGAGGGGTGACAGTCATCTATAGGACTACAAGGCTCAG